GCACTAGTTTACACTCCCACCAACAGTGTAGAAGTGTTCCCTTTTCACCACACCCTCTCCAGCAGCTGTTATTTTTTGACTTGTTGATAATTGCCATTCTGACTGGGGTTAGGTGGTATCTCAGTGTGGTTTTGATTTAATAGTATTGATGGAAACCCACCTTTCATTAGACTGTAAATAGAATTTATTTCAGGTAGTACATTGAATTTGGTGAATATGCTTCTGAATCTTTGTTCTTTAGCAAGTTCTAAGTATGTGACTCTTATCCCGGCTCAGGAGTCAACATCAGGAAGCCTCCAGAGACTGTTAAAAGGACCAGACTTCAGGCAGCCCCTTTGGGTCTCCTCCCATTGTAGGAGCTTTTCTGTCGTCTCAACAAATCCTGCTTTCTGCAAAAAAAAAGGACCAGACTTTGTACCTTCTATCTCTTACCTGGTTATACTTCACAATTTTATTTAGGATCAGCTTTCTTGTTTAAGCAGACATTTCCTACAGAGGACCCCCAGACACTGCCGTCAGACATCTGCGGGTCCTTCCAGGTACAGTATCTAGGGTGTACTCTGAGAGCAGTGTCTGGGGTTCTCAGAGGGACAGTGTCTTTGCCATCTTCAGAGGGGCATTGTCTGGGATATCTTTTCAGGGACAGTGTCTGGGGGGGCCTCTGGGAATCAATGTCTTAGAGGACCTCTGAGTGACAGTATCTGGGGGAATCTTCTGAGGGTAATGTCTTGGGAGTCCTCAGAGGGGCATTTTCTTGGGTGTCCTGGAATACAAAGCCTGATGTGGGGTCTGCAGGGGCTTGGCTCTCAGGTGGTGCTGTCAGAATGTCTTTCTCTTTTTTTATAATTAAAAAGTATAAGTGGCCAAATAAACATTCATAACATTTTTCTTTCTTTTCTTTTTTAAAAAATATTTGCTCTTACAGTGTTTGTTGAAAAGGTGCTACAGAGACTTTTTCCTAATGTTTCAAGTGGCCACAAAAAGAGGGAACCCCAGGCACCAGCCATTGAAGACCTGCCCAAGACAGTGAGCTCTGAGAAAGTGAGGCAGAGACATATCCGGCCTTCGACAGGTGAGATTATTGCAGGCTTGGATGGATCTCGGGTACTTCGCTTAACCTCTGCATCTACCACACACTGGAGTATGTGTCCCGTGACCTCGGACTTTCTCTGGTGTTTGAACTCTGAAGATGTCCTGACAGCAGATGGGCAGAGTGGGCATCACTCTACACATAAGTTCCAGGAAAGCCTGTGCATGCTCCCCAATCAAGACCAGGCTAGATCACTGTTTTCTGGAGGGTTCATTCAGACCTTGTCCACTGGACGTGGCAAATGGACTGTGGGTGGAGTTTGGTTGGCTAGGTCTTGGCTTTCCTTTGACAAGAACAAGTGCCTCTCTCCTGCCACTGTACCATGTCCCAGTCACTGTAGTGACCCCCACATGGCCTTGTTGGCTCCATTGGCTGTGTCTACTCAGGGATGGGCTCCTGATATTCTTTGTCCCTTAGTCTTTCACAGGTGTCTGTTCCATAACAGGCCTACCTTAGGTCATGTGGGTGGCAGGGTCACCTGGAGTCTCATCAATTCCATTCCTCCAATGTAGCCTCATTAACCTAGTCAAAGACCACTCAGTGAGACAAGTAAATAGACCACCTGAGCATAAGTGGGTGGGTCTGCAAGGTTCCCAGATAGAGATATAAATACTTAAAGCCAGACTTGGGTTTTCGAGTACACTTTCTGGGATCACTTCTCTATTTCTTTAACAATACTCTCTCACTGGGCATTTGTTCTCCACATGATTCCATTTCTCAGGGCTATTTGGTCTCTTGCTGGCTCAGCTGAATAAGTTTGAGAACAAAGATTATTTAATTCCCTAGTATTCACATATCTCATAGCAATCCCTCAATGGGATCTCAACAGGCAGCCCCAGTAGTCCTGCAAATCAACTTCCGGCTCCACAGGTCAGATCTCCATTTACTTGGAACACATTTTACCACAGAAATAATGTTATACATGTTGATTAGATTTCCGGACAAGCCCAGAAAACCTATTTAACCTATTGTATGATGAATGCCTATGGGTACCATTCCAATTGTGGATACCAGTGGATATAAGACAAGTAAGAAGGAGAAAATTTCCTTCATGTCATCTAGAGAGGGGTTATACCAAGCATGCTCTTACTACAGGACAAACCATTCTGTAGTTTTCTCATATGACTTATTGTTTTCAGGATGTTATGAGCTTCCAGTGAAATATCCCACCAAGATCACCATGTACAAATGCACTCTACTCTAAACTTAGCTGCCTCCCTTCTGCTGCAGAGCCTAGCAAAATAGTAGGATAAAATTAAGATTGCTTTAACTAATACTAAGGAGTAAATACTGTTCAATGTGTTTTTACTTTTCAAAGAATATATCTGTCACAGGCTATATATTTGAAAGAATTCTCCCCCCAAATTCATATGTTGAAGTTCTTACCCTCAGTACTTCAGAATATAACTGTTTTTGGAGATGGAGAATCTTTTAAAAAGGTGATTAAGGTTAATTGAAGTCATTAGGCAGTTATGAGAAGTGAGGGCTCTGTGCCCATCACTAAACGTATGGGTTGTGAGGTCCAATTCAGTGGATCGTGGCAGCTAGCGGTGTACACCAGTGTAACCCTCACAAGCAAGAAGTGAACCACGTTCACACATCCTGCCTTCTGGTCAGTCGCCTCTCCCTCCCCAAGCTGTTTTCAGAATCTGTTACTAGAGACTGGTATTTGGATGTCATTGAGTGGAACCACATGGTACGCATTGCTTTCTATCTGACTTCTTTCATGTTGACTGAGGTCTTTGATTTGTGTTTTTTTTTTAATTTATGTTATTGTCCATTTGTATTTCTTCTTAAGTGTCTCTGTAAGCTTTTTGCCCATTTAAAAATTTTATTTATTCTTTTATTATTATTTCTAGCAGTTCTTTATAAATTTTGGACACAAGTCCTTTGCCATATATAATTACCATGAAAATTTTTTCCAACCTTCCGTGGTTGCCTATTCATTTTTTTTCTTTTTTTTTTTTTGAGTTGGAGTCTCACTCTGTCACCCAGACTGGAGTGCAGTGGCTGCTCCTGGCCACCGCAGCCTCAACCTGCTGGGCTCCGGTGATCCTTCTACCTCAGCCTTCCCAGTAGCCGGAATTACAGGCATGCGCTACCATGCCCAGCTGATTTTTTGATTTATTGTAGAGATGAGGTCTCGCTGCCAAGGTGGGTTTCGAACCCGCGGGCTCAGGCAATCCACTCACCTCAGCCTCCCAAAGGCACGGGATTACAGGCTAAGCCACCGAGCCCGGCTACCTATTCATTTTTTATACAGTATTTTGAAGAGCAGAAAAATACTAATTTTGATGAAGTTCTGTTTATCAATTTTTTTTCTTTTATAGTCTGCACTTTTTGTGTCTTAAATCTTGGTTTACCCAAGGCTATGAAGAGAGCTTCCTGTGTCTTCTTTTCTGTCTCTGGGTTTCTCATTTGCATCTGTGGTCTTTCTTGAGACACTTCTGGGGTGTACATTGAGTAGAGGGTGCTGCTTCTTTCTCCCCATGGTGCTGTCCAGTTGTCCCAGTGTATCTGTTAAAAACAAAAAACAAAACAAAACAAAACAAAACCTTCCTAGGTGGAAATGTACGAGATTGCTTCTTGAAATTTAAGATGTCCCAGGATTGAAGGGCATGAGTGTACAAATTGACTGAATCACTGAGTACCCAATACAGTGGATGAAACAGACCAACATTAAACTGATGTAATTTCAGAATTAGAGGAAAAGAAGATGGCAAACTTCTCCAGAGAAGATTGCAGATGCAGGTGGGGTAGAGCAGCATCCTGAGTCTCCAAGGGGAGACTGCAGGGTGAAATGAAGCCTCACCCCACAGCAATGTACTGGCAGCAGTGTATCGCCAGGGGGGCAATCTGCAGCGGGTATAATGGGGTGCCTGGGCCCAGGTGGCCTTGGGGGAGTCTGTTTCTAGACTAGTTGATTTCCCAAGTGTGCCTTTTCAGATGTTGTAGGTTTTGAAGCCTTATACAATTTTGGAAGCTTCCTTTGAAGAAAAACCAGATTTACAAATATAGATCTGGATAGGCAGCCTTCACATGGGCCCAAGCCAAGGAGTGTCCTCAAGGTTCATGTGCCCTGTCTAGTGTCCTGCAGTATTCCTTCCTCGTGTCCACGTCTGTGACTGCTCTCTTCTCCCTTTATAAAAGAAGAGCCTTCAGCAGGGCTCGGTGGCTCAGCCTGTAATCCCGCGCCTTTGGGAGGCTGAGGTGAGTAGATTGCCTGAGCCCGCGGGTTCGAGACCCGCCTAGGCAGGCGAGACCACATCTCTACAATAAATCAAAAAATTATCCAGGCATGGTAGCGCGCGCCTGTAATTCTGGCTACTCGGAAAGCTGAGGAGGAAGGATCGCCTGAGCCCAGCAGGTCGAGGCTGCGGTGGCCGGGAGCGGCCACTGCACTCCAGTCTGGGCGACAGAGTGAGACTCCAATTCAAAAAAAAAAAAAAAGAAGAACCTTCAAGGTGCATCGCTCAGATAGAAACAACTTTGGGGTTCCAGAAAGGGGTAACTAGTAATACTGGTCCTTGGGGAAAAAGTGAACTAATCTGACGACTGGGACCAAATATGCTTGCTGGGCAAATTGTTTATATTTCTTTACCTTATTATCAAAATTGGAGGAGCTAAATGATTTATCAGCTGATGGAACAGTAAAAATAATTTTTGATGATGGATTTCTCTGATTTTTGGCATATAGCTCAGAAAAAATTTAATGAATTAAATGTCATTGCTATTTTTAAAAACTTTATATTCTGTCATCTACTTATTTATGTGAACAAAGTTTCTTAGCAATTACCTATAAGATGAAAAATAGATATAGAATTCACACAGCCCTGTCTCATAGCAATAATAAATATTCTTCCACAATTAGGAAGAAAAACACAAATTCCTTTCCTCTCAGTAGAAGGATAATTTCCAGTAAGATTTTACTCTTTTTATTGAACAGTTACCAAAAGTAATCATTGTAGCTAGATTCAGGGACCCATACCTGTAATCCCAGCACTTTGGGAGGTGGAGGCGAGAGGAGAGGATTATTGGAGCCCAGCGGTTCAAGACCAGCCTGCACAACTTGAAAAGATCTTGTCTCTACAATAAATCAAAAAATTAGCTGGTGTGGTGGTATGCACCTGAAGTTTCAGCTACTTGGAAGGCTGAGATGGAAGGATCACCTGAGCCTAGCAGGTTGAGGCTGTAGTGGCCACAAGTGTGCCACTGCACACCAGCCTGGGTGACAGAGTGAGACTTCAACTAAAAAAAAAAAAGTAATCATTGTCAATTTATCAATTGCATACTACTAATTATGACAATTTAGAAAAAAAGATTTCTGTGTAGCATCATGGAAACTTTAAAAAATTAAAATGTGTTTGAGAATTATGGAATGATATAGTCATTACACTAGGATAAAAATGGAGGGCAGTCAGAATTCCAGAAGCAGAGGAGTGGTGTCTGACTCTGACCAAGTCAAGGTACCTCATTCACACCCTTCAGGTAAAAGAAGGCACCTCTCAGTGTGCAATGGTGTGCAGACTACTTCAGATGGATGTAAAAGAGAGCTGTTACAAGTTTGTATTTAAATATCTACGTATAGTATAGCAAAATTGGGTCTTTTATGTGGTGGCTTTGAAACCCATATCTGGGGTGCAAATTTTAAAACATTCTTTTAGGGATGGTTTTCCTCTTGCACTCAGGGCTTCTCACAGACCCATGGATGCTGACATGCAAGAAAGTCTCTACCAATGTCTGGGAGTCATCTGTGAAAATGCTACCAAGCTCTTTTTCTTAAAAACTGCAGTCAAGCCGGGCTCGGTGGCTCAGTCTGTAATCCCAGCACTTTGGGAGGCTGAGGTGAGTGGATTGCCGGAGCCCACGGTTCAGGACCCACCTGGGCAACTTGGCGAGACCTCATCTCTACAATAAATCAAAAAATCAGCCGGGCGTGGTAGCGCACGCCTGTAATTCCGGCTACTCGGAAGGCTGAGGCG